ATTCTCAGTGTGCTCATTCCTATCTCTGTGTCAATCTCTTTTCTTTTCTGCCTATCTAAATGCTGCTAGTTCAGAAGCCATCCAAAGTTTCAGTTCCTCCTTGATATCTTCCTAGTAACTTTAGCCCTTACTGATGCACTACTATTAGTAGTAGTTCTGACAGTAGTTACCTGCTTTCTGTTCTAACTACTCCGTATGTAAAACAGACTTTTTTTTTTTTAAACCACATAGTGGTGTGTACTTTCTAGAAACCATTGCTCAGAGTCTTTCTAGTAGGAGTGAGAGAGGGCTTTACCTCCAGGCAGATGATCTACCACACAGTTCTATTGATATATTCTTAATTGTAATTTATCTTGATGTTTGAATTAGTGGTGGTCTTAATTTGTTTCATAGGCTTTATTTTTGTCCACCAATTAACTCATACATCTTCTCCATCCTGAATTTGTGTTTGGATTTTGAAAATTATTCTAATTTAATTGTTTACAGTGAGAAAAATAAGTAAGTAGCATGTGACATCTAGCAATCTTTTAATGCTTAAGTTTATAAGATTTCTTTAAAAATTACTTCAGATAACTGTATAGTATGCTTCACTCTTACTTAGGTTACTGTTTCATAACTGAACCGCATATTGTCATTTCAAGAAGTTTCTATAATGCAGTGAATGCTTCAAAAATAACTGATGATGATTAAAAAGCAGTTAGTTTGCTACACAGAAGCCACTTATTGCTGTTTGCAGTCTATTTTTTGTGCCCAGTAGTGAGAGTAGAAGGAGCCCTGGTGGCACAATGGTTAAAGCATTGACTGCTAACTGAAAGGTCGGTGGTTCAAAACCACCAGTGACTCCATGTGAGAAAGATGTGGCAGTCTGCTTCTGTAGAGATATACAGCCTTGGAAACCTATGGCATTGCTGAATCGGAATTGACTTGACAGCAGTGGGTTTCGAGTGAGAGTAGGGTACAGTAAAAGTTTAGGGAATCATAACACTAGCCTTTTCTTCCTGCCAAAATCTTAACTCTTCAAGTAATATCCATTTTATTAATGGAAAAACTGATGAGCTAGCAAAATCAGCTCATTCCTCTCTTACTGTGCTCAGGATAGAATGCTGGAACAGAAAGAGCAGAGCCTGAAGTAGGTCTGCTTACTCCACTTCATGGAACTAACACTTCCTGAAACGGGCATTAGAAGAAAAGAAGGAACCTTTTGAGACAATATACCCCTACAGTAAAAATAACTATAAAGTTTTTTGAGCACTATGTTTTAGGCACTGTTTTTTATAGGTATTAATTTAATTTTTTCAACAACTTCATGAGGTTGATACTATAATTATGCCTGTTTTATACCTAGGAACACTGAGACCAGAGAAGTAAATTACTTAAGGTAACAAGTTACCTTGACCCTTTGCTTTTTCTCCTATGCCCT